ATATATGTACTCTAATAATCTGGAAAAAGATTAATAATAATTTCAGAGATGATGTAACATGAAAAGTTATATGACAAAAAGATTTTGTACCTTCGCCTGGTATGATTTGATGACTCGTCAAAAGATTGCAAAAGCTCCATAGCCTAACCTTTTATTTAAAATTAAAATATATATTTAATTCGTTATTGCTATTGTTATTCTTTAAAAAGCAAAAAATTAATACATACAAACACATGATGGTATAACCAGGACACAATATTATTGCTATTATAACTGAATTTTCATATCATCGATATTTGTTCTCTGCTTTTGTGAGAATGTTAGGTTACTTTTTTTTTATTTACTGAAATTAAGTTTCGTTTTGTCAAATCATTTGTATCACCACAATCATATCACTTACGATAACTTTGTGGACTTGTAATTAAATTAGTTTGTATAATTCGTTAGTAGTAATGACTAGTCAAATAGTCAATACATCAGTCAACCGTTGGACTCTTTAGTAAATAACGCAACACTTTTTTTCCTCCAAAATCGTGTTCTCCATCATGACAACCATAATACTCAAAATTTCATTTTTCGATAACACATATATTTTCACAATATTCCAACGACTCTTAATGTGAACGTAGATTCCGCCGTTAAAAAAAAAGAATGTAGATTCGAATTGTTGAAAATGTATTTCACAAATAATAAAATTTGAAAGTGGGGGCATTTTGAAACTAACAAAAGTTATTGTAAACGACTATTTTAGAGTAAGTTCGGAAGATCGCAAGCAGTTCTATTTTAAAACTAGCAAAATTATTAACATGATTAGAAAAATTAATCATTTTGATTTTTGAAGAATATTCCAAAAGATTAATTATTTCAATTGTTATTGTAGATTTATATTAGCTGTTAAAATCAGCTTAAATGAATGGATGGACCCCTTTGAAACATTAAAAAAAAAAAAACAATAGAAATCGAGTTATATTTTTATGAGGTGGTTTAGATTGCATCATAAAACTATTATCTATTTATCTTATATTGAAGTTTTAGGTTGTAATCATAGATAAACTTGATTTTTATTGTGGTTATTTTATCACTAGTTACATTAAAGAGCTTCTAATTTAATGGTATCATATTTTGATATTTATAAACACAACTATAAGTAATTTAATAGTATATTAAACTTTTCGTGGGTTTCATTATTTGGACAAAGTAATTCGAATATAGGTATATGGTTATGTGTCGTGGAATATCTAATTTTGAATAATAATAAAAAATCATACTAATTACAACATATGTTTAAAAGAAAGATAGAATTTGTTTGTTCTATTTTTTAAACTTATATTATGAATTTGATTTTGTTGAAATGAAAACATCACTATCCATTTGATTTTGCTGCATTAAGAAAAGGTACGGAACGGTGGATCCTGATCATGATCCTGAATTTTAAGATGATCATATGACACATATGATCAGAAAAACACAGGAGCAGAGCACAATAAAGCTAAAGCATGTCAAAAACTAAATTCCAAAATTTCAATCATCCCATTTTTTTATGGAATCTCATCATGTGCTTTTCAACCCATTATTGGTATTATCTGGAAATTTCAATTACTGATTTATCATACATTCTATAAATAAATTATTGATTTCTTAAAAACTAATAATAAAAACCATTAGAATACATTATGGATGGATCCTAACCATTCTATTCGTACATTTTCTTATAAAAGTATGTTTTATTGGAATTTTATGTAACAGAAACGTTTACATTCCAGATGAATAACCAAATGGAAACGAAATAACGAAGAAATGTGTAGCGTACACGAAGAACAGAATATTTACTTAAAAGAGAAAGTTAAATGTGATTTATTGACGTGCCATTTAATCGAGAACCAAAATTCTTACTGAAAACTAGCACTTAATTTGATCACTCAAATTTTTTGATGATATCTCCAATTTGATATCTCAAAATGCTCTAAGGTAGCGTTTCATATGAAGTAATCGAGGATAATCAAATGAAGCATTAAACTGGAATGGAAAAAACAAATATTGTTTGGTTGTCACGGAAAGAAAAAGGAATTATGCATTCCTCGTTGTGAATTTTTAGCTGATTTTAGTTCCTTGAGGGACAAGCGTTTCCGTTTTTCATTCAAAGAAATTCGAAGGAAATGGAATGTGAATTTCAGTAACAAAATTAAAGAAATTGAAATTCTTTAGACCCCATTAAAATATGTCTAAGAAATTTGTCAATTTTTTTGGCTAAATGCAAAAAATTTAGATTTCATTTCTTATGTTTTATTATAAATACAAAAATCGTCCATATTAGGACACCAAATTATGTCTCAGATCCCTAATGATATTTTGGCATGCCAAGGTTTGAGAGGTCAACCCCACACAAATTTCATGTGAGAAGTTAATGATGTGTCAAGATTTGAACCCTGAACCTCCTGTATCGAATACAACGCCTCATATAATCCAAATAAATAAATAAATAAATAAAAATATTCATAAGATGTGTTATTGTTAATCGTTTAAAATTTTAATCTATGATTGAACACTCTTTAATATATACTACATTACCTTGCACCATGCTGTTATATAATCAATTAGGAACATAAACCATGTTTATTTTTTTTCTCTTTATTAAACTATGTTTGTTAGCACCCAATTTTAGATTTATAAGACTTTGGAGTTTGCACCATGTGACCGAAAGGTTATCCCCTTCAAAAACCTGTAACATGATTTGTGAGTTGTGACGTCCTTTTTAAGAAGGAATATTTTGCATATGGCAGAATATATTAACTAATTTATTTGTAAACATCCTTTAAAAAATATATATAATGTCTGACAGTTACATATAATACTTGATTAATTATAACTTTTTGAAAACTTACAAATCAGAATCAATCTTATAAGAGTTTATAATAAATACCGATGATAAAGTTAACATGCAACGATATCTCTTTCTGAAAACACATTGTATGTTCTAGATAAATAAAGTATAAATTAAAAAAAAAAAAAAATTAACACGATTATCTCTTACGTGTCATGACTCATGAATTATATAAGCTGCATAGATAGCCCCCATGAACATACACATGACCATTATTTTTAGTGTCCCAAATAAAGTTCTTTTTGCAATAATGATCCTTGGATTTTTTTTTTCTTTTTTGTTATTTCATTTTAAGATGTATTATGAAACCTTTTTTGTCGAATCTTGTATTATATTACATGTTATATTTTATTTTGATACGACATCCATGGCCACCTATGATTTGACTTGCAAAACAACACTTTAAAACGTGTCAATCCACATGGTAATTGGGTAGGGGATCGAGAAGAGAAATGTTAGGAGTTAGAAGGTGCAATCATGTGCCCACAACACGAATAATACACTTTTAAATGACCTTTATCACTACTTTTTTACTTGGTCAAAGGATTCATGACTTGTAACTCATGCAATAAAATCGTTACATACAGGCAATGCATGAGTGCATAACATGACTTGTACCTCCTTAATCATGCAAGCCATTGTACTATAAGCAAAAATAGGTAGATGTAGGCACATGACAAATGTAAATATGTAATGTAATGCACACCTTCAAACTTCAATGGAATGGCATAAAGATGATGGGAGATTTGGCACCTAATGCGTTTCTAGTTTTGTGTACAACCTTCAAAGTAAATATACTGAGGCAAAAGTACAAGTTTGTACCTGTGGTACGAGTGCTTTCCAATGGGAAATGGTCCAACTTAACCATTTATAGGCGTTTCTTACCAATCCGAAGATATCGCCGGTAGCTTTTTCACGGGGTTGTGGACCCCACAAAGGGTGTCGTTTCAAGATTTGGAAGCTGAGAACCAATGACCATGGTGTTGCATTATTGCATAGGTTGTATTTTAAGGATACTGGCCTAAATGAACCCACCAATACCAAGAAACTTAAAAGAAGAAACGGACATGGCAATGATACGATTTATAATGGATCTGCAAGAAACGTTAAAGGGAGACTATTTCTGAAAATTCATAATGGCTTTTAGAAATGATTTGAATTTTGAAAAAGCGTCTTGCCTATTGGGAAGCTATTACAATCAAAGCTTTTCCATCATTTTGCCATTTTGCCTTTTCAAACCTTAATCGCATGTAATTATACAAGGAAGTCTTTGCAGCATGTAATTATACAAGGAAGTCTTTGCATTTTTGCATATATGTGAGGACATGAGAATCCAGAAGTGATGCGTCACCATTAGAGTGTGTTGGTATCATAGTGCTTTCATGAGATCGGTAGGCCATGAGTAGTGACGGAGCTTGAAGTTTTGATTTAAGGGCCGAAAATAAAATATATATAAAAGTTGAAGAACAGGAGGATCAAAGTCAAAATTTATAGTTTTAGGCATCATATGTAACTTTTTTAATACATAAAGACTAATTATAAAAAAATGGAAGGCCGCGATTGTTAATATATATATATATATATATATATATATATATATATATATATATATATATATAGGGTCGGAGACACAACCCCCGATCCTATATAACCTCCGTCACTGACCATGAGATCAGTAGGCCATGATTGTTAATATATATAGTTTACAAGAGTATCTTTAATTGTAAACTGTAGTATAAATTAAATGGTAAATGTCACTATAACACATTCAACTATCATCATTAATCCTATTTGGTCACTAAAGTATTTTTTTAGCTCAATAGGTCATTAAACTTACAAATTACATGTTTATTAAGTCATTTTCGTTAGTTTTTAATAGATCTACCGTTAACCGGTTATTATAATTTACAAGAATGGTCCCTATTATTTGAATTTCTTTTGTGGTTGGTCCCATACCAACATAGTTCATCACCGACGTCACCACCGTTCAATTCCGACAACCACCACCCTTCACATTGGGCAACCCCATCAACTATTATAATCAACCTTTCTCTTACACCCCATCCATATACATCATATTTCTCTCTTTCTCTCTATATATAGAACCTTATTCTTCTTCATGCTCTCTCCTTCAAGAACACTAATTACAATGGAAGGAAGTTCTACTGATGATCAAAGCACAACTACAGAAACAACTTCAACAATTGTAGCACCGATGACTACGCCTCCACTGATCGGCAGTGGGGACAACATGGTTCTTGACACCGATGAAGTGGGGTTGGAAGTTAGTTTCTTGAATTCTCATTCAAAAGCTGAGATCGTCAATATGTTGAGGAAACACACATACAAAGATGAACTAGAACAAAGTAAGAGAAGCTACAGCTTAAACAAAACCCCTTTTTATAAACAAGTTCAGATCGGGTGACAACTTGGTCAACACCCAGGAACAAATTTTCAAGAAGACAGTCACCCCCCCCCCCCAAACGACATAGGAAAACTGAACCGGTTAGTGATACCAAAGCAGCATGTAGAGAAGCACTTCCCGTTGCAAACCAGAAGCACTTCCAAAGGTGTTCTTTTACATTTCGAAGATATCGGGATGAAAGTATGGAGATTTCGTGATTTTATTACTCATAATTTAATAGTAGCCAGAGCTACATTTTAACCAAAGGTTGGAGCTGATTCGTGAAGGAAAAGAAATTAAAAACTTGTGACATTGTGAGCTTTCAGAGATCCACGGGGTCAGACAAACAACTTTTCATCGATCGAAAGACAAAAAACGGGTCAAGTAGTTCCAATATTCAAGAACAAACAACTTTACAACATGTTCAAGAACGGTAGTGGTGCAGATGACGAACGATGCTAGTAAATGACCGACCACAAAAGAAATTGAAATCATGGGGACCATTCTTGTAAATTATAATAACCGGTTAATGGAAGATCAATTAAAAACTAACGAAAATGACTTAATAGAAATGTAAGTTGTAAGTTTAATGATCTATTGAGCCAAAAAAAATACTTTAGTGACCAAATATGATAAATGATGATAATTGAATGAGCTATAATAACATTTACCCTAAATTAAAATCATTGACATTTTACCATCTTACAAACTTTAAAAATAATATCTAGTTAACCTTCAATATAGATTTTTTCTTTATTTCTTTCTTTTTATTTATTTTTTCTTAACTAATCCTTCCTTATCATTTAGATATTTTCAACGGTTATTACAACAATAAATTAAAAAAAATTAAAAAGTTCATTCTTTAGTTAACTAAAAGAACTATTTCATTAATTTCTTTATTTTTTTTTTTGAAACGGCAAACTAATTAATTAACCTATTCCTAAATAACCATCTATGTCTCCAAAAAGATTTGAACCGATGACCTCTCAATTGAAAGAGTTATCCTGTACCGCTTGGTTATTGACCCTTTGATCACTACTTTCTTTACTAAACGGCAAAAATATGTTGTGTTGTTAGTATTTAATTATTACAATTGAAAATTAGAAAGAAATTAAGATATATGATTTTAGTAATTTGAATCAATCAAGTTGTTATTTTCTTTTACCAATTATAGTTACTAATACTATGATATATGGTTTGTGGAAAAATATGATACACCCCAATTATTACAATTGAATATAAAGTGTATTTATTGATTTAAAGAAAATATAAATATAAAAAGTTAGAAATTTGATGATATTTAGGGAAATGCGTTAAATCACCAGAAAAGAAAAGTAAAAGGTTTTGATAGAGGGAAGAACACGAAGGATAGTTTGGTAAATTTGCAAAAGAGAAAGGCTTACAAAAAGGGATTAGAACTTGAAGCATGAAGGTGCCAGTGCATACATGCAATTTACTATAACTCGCATCACCTGACAAACACCACATGAAGAAGGCAGACTTGAGACCCTACCCACATTATTTTGTCCACATGGAAGACCGGAAAGCCAGTGCATATCTGTCCCACTACATCCTCTCTCTTTCCACAATTGCAAAAAATTAAATTATATAAAAATGACAGCAATTTTCCCTCTCATTCTTAAAATTTGACACCCAATTCAATTCCCACAAAAAAAAATATCCCACCTTATATTCCATCACATGAAATCTCTTCAAGAACCTAAAAAGCAACAATCTTTGTAGATTTTAGTAAAGAAAGAGAGCGACTTGGGCAAGTAAAGCATCTTTCAATGATATCTGCATCTTGATTTGGTTGAGTGGAAGAAGGAATTAGCAGCGGTGGACGCTGGTGGTGGAAATGGCTACCAAGGAGGTTGTGTATGCTTTAAAAGATGATGATAAACAAGAGTTACAGAAGCAATTAGGATGCATGAATGGAATCTTTCAGCTGTTTGACCGGCGTTATCTCCTTGGCCAACGCCGCCGCCACAACCAGAAGAGGCTACCTCCACCTTCAGGTACCACCATGAATATTCTAGTTGTACCTTAAACAAAACTTCCATATACAATAGTATAAATAACAAGCAATAGAACTACATGAATATATAATCATCGTTTTGGTTTTCCATGTCTTAACGAATTGCCAATTGCTTGATCTTTAGGTCAAAGTGGCAATGATGACAAAGACTTTAGCAAGCCTTCAGAGCAAACCAAGGTAAACAACGTGAGCTTAAGCTGAAATAACCATCGAAATTTGCCTAAAATGCTCACATGGGAATATTTTGGTGTTCTTTTTACAATTTTGTAGGAAAAAAACTCCAAGGTAGCCATGAAAGAGAAGCAGAGAGTCTCTGTTGAATTACCAAGAAACTCGGTGTCTTCTTCTACTTCATCTAACGCTTTGTCATCTTTAGATTGTTGTAAAAGGGTTCAAACAGAACAATCGTCGTCTTGCCAAAGTGTCGTCTCTGAACCCTCTTCATCGCCATTCTTAACCAGAAAACAACCAGATTTTTCTATACAATCACCTGATATCAGAGATGTAGTCAGGGATTCCATGACTAGAGAACCTCGTGTAGTATCAATCAAAGCTATGGTGGGTCCTCCTATGAAGCATATCGATTCCCCAAGGCCATTCCCACATAAAAAGACCAGTCAATCCGATGAAAACGGTCGAAACCTGCGGGAGATTCCATGGTCACCCAAGGAAGTAAAGGAGACAACACGGAGGTCATGTGATGGAAGGGAATCACGATATTCTTTGAAATCCAATATGAAGATCAAAGAGCTTCCAAGGTTATCATTAGACAGCAGGCAAAGCTGTATCAGTAATTCCGCCATTGATGCAAGAAGAAGCTTGCTAGGTGACATGGAGAGCGCCGCAAGAACTAATAAACGACCATCATCAGGTGTTGTCGCAAGGTTGATGGGTCTGGAATCCTTAACAGCCGCCACTGATGAAAGTGCGACGTTGAAGACACCTTGCTTAAGTCAAGAATCGGTCTCAAAGTCAAAATCAAGAAAAGAGGAGGAACTAAAGAGGGGAGTCGGTCATGTAATTACAAGAATACCACTGGAAACAGCTCCATGGAAGCAGGAGGGTAGTAATCGAGGCGCACAGAAGCCACCATTCAAGAGTAAGGAAGATCCAGAAAAATCCGCACCTGCTTCCCCTTCCATTTATGGCGCGATCGAGAAACGGTTGACCGAACACGATTTTAAATCATCAGGGAAGGATCTCAGAGCCCTTAAACAGATACTAGAAGCAATGCAGAAGACACGAAGGAGGTTGGAGTACAAAGATCATGCATTGGACAACAACAGCACCATTGACGATCATAAACCAGTTTCCCCCACCATCAAGGGAATTAGCCCTCCCAGGAAACATGAATTCCTGAAAGTCGACATAAAACCTGCGACGCTAACTTCAGATTCCAGTTCCATTGGTAGGGGCAGATTGAAAGACTCAATCCGGAGAGATAAGAAGTCAACTTCAAACTTTCCAGATTACATATCCACAAGTTCAAGATATTCTGGACCACCGGGCCCAAGAATTCAAAGATCAAAGAATGGTGTAGACAAGCCATTGTTACATGGACCTTCATCTGAATTGAGCAGGACCAGAAAGCAACCCGGTATGCAAGTGGGCTCAAGAACAAGAAAACCGAAGGCCAAATCCATGGATACATTGCAAGAAACAAGAACTTTTAGTCAACAGAGTGATACAGTTTCCTTTCGATCAGAAAGCAACAGTTTGGCTTCACAAAGTGATTCAGAAGTCATGAGCACCGAGTGGATGCAAGAGGTGAATAGCCCATTTCGACCGAAGGAAAACCACAGGGTGAGTGATCATACTTCGGTGATTGTCTCTTAACATATGCAAACTCATCACTTAATGTTTATACTTACTTTTGAACACGTGTCATCTTTCTCCAGGGTAATATAGCAGAAAGATTGACCGAAGAGAAGTCAATGGTTGACCATGCCAAACATACCATGGAACAACCAAGTCCTGTATCTGTTCTTGATGCGTTCTATACAGAAGACCCACCATCTCCGGTGAAGAAGAAATCCAATTCTTTTAATGGTACGTTTCCTATCTATATATCAAGCCACTTTCCTTATTTCTATTTTAATGGCTTACAAAGATTACGTCTATCTCATTTCAGATGATGAGAATTTACACTTTGAAGAAGCACAATATTCCGAGTTCAGTAGCATGAAACTAGAAAACATTAAGAATCTAGTTCATCAAATCGAGTTATTGAACACCAAGCCTGATGATGCTAGTGTCAATCACACTCCATGTGAGGGTGAAATTAGAGATGAAAGATATGTAAGAGAGATAATAATAGCCTCAGGTTTCTTAAAAGATCTGGTTCGCATCACCACAATAGTGCAGATTCATCCAACAGGTGGTTTAATCAACCCTGAGTTGTTCCATGTTTTGGAGAAAACCAAAGGATGTACAGACTTCAACCACAAATCAAAATCCAAGGACAAAATCAGAAGAAAAATGGTATTTGACAGTGTGAACGATGTTCTTGGCCACAAATTAGGCATGCTAGGTCCTTTTGGGCCTAAAGGGAGGATTTTGAATGAAGACAAGCTACTGAAAGAAGTGTGCTCAGAAATCGACAGTCTGCAAAATAAGTCCAAGAGAGGCGTATATGATGAGGATGATGATGAAGTGATAAACATCATAAATGCAGATGTGAATAAGAGATCACAAGATTGGGAGGAATACTGTTATGAGGTTCCAGGTCTAGTGTTAGATATAGAGCGTCTGATTTTTAAAGACTTGGTCAGCGAGGTTGTGAATGCTCAAGTAAACAGTGTACAAGATTGGTCAGTGAGACATCGTAGACAATTGTTTCCCATGTAGAAGTTGAATCCTGTCATCCTTTTAAGTTTTCATTTTCTTATCTTTTGCTGGCTATAGAAGCACAAGTTTAGATTAGTGAAAGCATGTATCTGCAAAGCAAAAGCATATAAATTATAGTACAAGACTAATTGACTGC